AACCTTCATGAGTGTAGTGAGGACATTAGTGAATGCTCAAGAAGTGGCCATCTTAGTTTATGACTAAAAGGGTAGAAAGGAGCATCTTGGGAAATCATTCATCCAAAGAGACCAAAATTTGGTCCAATTACAATGTCTCAGCCATTGAGGGAGGGGAGGAAATATCAGTATAACATAATGTCCACTATCCAGATTTGGCCCCCAGCCCACACCCCAGGACAGAATACTTAGGAAAAGGGATAAGAAGTGAAAAATAACCACCAACAGAATACGATTGTTCTCTCACTCCTTATTTCAGCACAGGGGCACTGGCCTCTTATGACTTTGCTGAAAGGTAGGAGGAGGGCAAAAGGGCAGCTAAGTCCACCTTCCATACTCTTTGGGAGCAGCACCCTGCAGAACCATTAGCAGCAGAAACATCAGTCTCAGAGGCAGTGAAGATCCAGGTCTGGCTCTACTTGATGGCAGCAGCAGCAGCAGCTGGCACCATTGAGGGCACAATGGCATCACAGAGCATCCCTGAACTTCTGAGTGCCAACAGCTTCATTGACAGGAGGTAATCATGCTACTTAGAGATACTTGATGTCATGAACCACAAGCAGGAGCAGAAAGAAATCATCGTCTGGCAGTGGAGACTTCAGGTGTCAGGGAAAGTTGAAAGGCCTTGTTTGAGAGTGTGTGTGGCTGGGGATGCTCGGAATTCACTGGGGAGGCAGGAGTGTCTTTGAAGAAAGCTAGAAAGTCTAGTATATCATAGAAGGTATAACAGAGGAACAATGTTTAATACTTTAAGGTTAATCCCATTTTCGCCCCAGGTATAATCTGAAGAAAGATGCCTTAATACGCTACAGTGAACAATGTTCGTTAAATGATTACTCTTTCCAGGGACCGTTTGCATTTTAATGGGGACTTCTTGTAGATGATAATTTAACCTTCGTACATGAACATTTCTGCCTGATTTCTTGGCGAAGGCCTAGGCTAATGTATCTCCATGTGGGCTCAATACTCTACTCTCTAGTTCTTCCAAGGTGGAAGGCCCTGTATAGGTAAGGTGGCTCTGGTTAAGAAAAGGTCATATTTGCAATATTTAAATTTAAGTTTCCAGGCTCCGATCCCCTAACCCCAAACTCCTCTTTTTGCTGCACAATGAAAACATTTTCATTTGGTCCTATAAAGTATTATAATGAATAAATGTTATTAAAATAATGCTATTAGGTAGATACAAAAAGTTACGTTCAGCCATTTAATTCTAAGTTTAGGAAAATGCAGGTGACAAAGGTCAGTCTTTGGCCTGATATCTTTTTATCATTCTCATTATTTATGTATGTATGAACATATGCAATGTAATGAGTAGAGATGTATTCAGTTTCACCAAATACGGAAATAAAAATGATTTCATGTTCAAATTTTAAAAGTCAGCAATATTCTTACATATCCACACTAAGTGATTAGGAGTCAGTAGCAAATAGTTTTAAGAGGATATCTTCAGTATCCAATGAGTATTTAGAATGACAGAATTGACAGGTTCTTCAGAAGTCTTCCAACTGAGCCCTGCCACTTTAAAGACAAAGCTGAGGCCTAGGTATGCAAAAAATTTTGTTCCAGGTCACTCAGAAAGTTCATGACCAAGCTTAGTCTAGAACTATGTCTTTCTACTCCTCAAGTTAATTCCTTCCTTTCTGGGTAAGGCTCTAAAGGTTAAAAAGAAGCTTATCTCCCATTTTCTCTAGAATCTCAGTTTCAAGGCAGTGCTGAATCCTCATTTGTACTGTCCCAACCCTGTGGTCCTTCCAAAAAAACACACCCGAACCCACAGCATAAAAGTAGCACCATGTAAGGTGGTGCCCCATAATACACTCTCTGTTATCCCATTGGTCCAAGAAACACCCAACCTAGCTCAAAATCCATCCTATCTGTTGTGATCTGGAATGTTTGTTACAGCATAGCCCCCTCTCAGCATCCGTATCTTCTATACACATACACAAGAACACACATATACAGACACACATACACACACATGCACACCAAATATGCTATCTTTTCATCTACTGAGAATGCAAATGACACAATCATTAAGGAAACTGACCATGCTCCATAGTGCAAAGAGTGGTGAAGAGTCTGTAAAGATAAAGAATGAATTTCCTCTGTTCCTTGTGGACACAGAATCAGAGCTTAAGCACTTCCCTTTGAAACTGGACATCTGGATATCATATGAGATAAGAGACATAACTGCACTTTGATATTAATCTGATTTTTCTTTAATGCTAAGGCCACGATCAAGAACCAATCATGGACTCATTCTCCTTCTGACATTGCTTGGGGTCAGTCCAGAAAAAAATTTCTGCCTTCTCTGAACTTGCTAGCAGTTAGAGAAACAAATGTGTCATATTCCCAGACTGATGAATGGCTGAAGACACAGGCCATTTTAAATGGCAGCCCTAAGTTAAACAAGAACTGCTAAACTGATACATTCAAAGAGACTTAAGAATTGTCAAGATGTGAAGCCAAGGTTCCTCTGTTACCCATGTGTTGAAAACTCAGTTTCTAATCCCCTTCTGTGGTTGTACTTTTGTGGACAGACGTTACATTAAGATGACTGTGCTTGCAGTAGAGGAAGAAAAGGAAAATATCTGAAGAAGCTTATATATTAACTGCAGAACTCAGACTTCTCACTAACATGAATTATATTTCACTACAGTATGTTCTTCCTGTAAAATATAATAAATCTTGGGATTTGGAACCCAAAAAGGTAAAAGATCACTTGCAAGTTTGAGAAGCTACAGATTAAGTCTTTTGCATAGAGGAATAACAGATATTGTCTGTGTATATTATCCTGATCACAGCCCTTGTTGTTCATTCTCCTGTTATACCTCCATCAGAAACCCAACAGATTTCTCATTTGCGACCTCAACTCCTTCCAAACACCAGCCACACACCAGCAAGACCCAGGTCACTGAAACCTCTGCACTCACTTCTAAGGTTAACATAGCCCAACTCTCATTGATGGGACTTGAGGAGCCATTTCTAAAACCACTGAGTCGGAGGTAGCCAAAAGAATTGATGCAAACAACTAGCAGGCTGCTAAGGAACAAAACACTAAGCATTAAAAAAATACTTAATCTCTGGGTGTAGAGTTCAGGTATTGGTGTTTTGTAAAATCTCCCCAGGTAATCTTAAAGCCTAGATAGGGCTGAGAACCATGAGCCTAGCACAAAACAGGCCCTGGGGATTCTTGCCACATAGGTAATACCACACTGGGCCAAAGTCGAGGACCTTTCAGGCAGAAATTATTGAGGTAGAACTGTAAAACACTTCAATTAGCATAAAACTTAGTATGGCAGTTTTAAAATATGGCCCCAATTCTTTGATATTTATCCCAGTAAGAAGTAGGATGCATGTCTTCTCCTCATGCATATGGGTGGATCTCTGACTGCTGCATCCAAAAATATTTAGCAGAACAGATGCTATCTTAGGTCAGAGGCTACATCACAAATGACAATGTAATTTCTACACTGAGGGCTGGGACACTCTTGGAACCCTGAGACACCATAGAAGTTTTAACTACTTTAGCCACTATGCTGTAAGAAAGATCAGGCCACATGGAAAGGTCAAATGCAGGGATTCAATGCCCCACCTGATTTCCACCATCAGTTATCAACTGAATAACAGAGATCGACAGATTATTTACAAATTCCGGAAACTGAAAGCATCACTATAAATGAGAATGTTGGAGTAATGTCTCAGAATTTACCAGAATTTCATTATCCAGTTTTCCTCCAAATATAAGATCAATCTTACTTTAAATAATCAATGAAGTTGCAAATGTCTAAAGCTACATATTCAGTTTTCCTTGTTTTCAATAGTGGCTACGCTTGAATTGAAAGAGAAAAAATACTCTGAAAATGCTAGGAAAAGGTCTGTAACATAAAGCTGCCTAACCTCAAAGAAACAACCACTATTATTTTGAAATATCAGAAAAATGAATGGACTTTTAATCATTAGACTGTGGGTCTAGAAGGCCTAATAGTGATCTCAGAAAGAGCATATTCGTGTCCCAATCCCTGGAACCTGTGAATGTCACCTTATTTGGAAAAAAGGTCTTTACAGATATAATTAAGTTAAAGATTTTGGAATGAAATCACTTATATGAGTGGAACCTAAATTCAATAACAAGTGTCCTTATAAGAGACACAGGAGTGATCTAACAGACAGAAGGGGAAGAGGCAATATGACCAGTGATACAGAGATCTCAGAGATCTGAGTCAGGAATCCATCACATCAGCGCTGATGCTTACAGCCATCAGGAGCTGGAAGAAGCAAAGAACAGATTCTCCTCTAGAGCTCAAGGAGTCGGGGGCTTGATTTTGGACTTCTGGCCTTCAGAACTGTGAGAAAACAACTCTCTGTTGTTCTAAACCAACCAGTTTGTAGTAATTTGTTACAGCAGCCACAGTAAATTAATACACTTTAAAAAAAAAATTCCTCATCAAAATTGTTTCCACATAAGTGTAAAATTTAATAAATTACAATTTTATTCTTTATACTTATCTCTTTATGCTTCTACCTACAGGACAAATTTCAGTTCAAAATATCACTTCTAATATAAAAATGTCAAATTTTTATTACTATTGTTTTCTTTATGTTTAAGGTTTCCACATTTTTCCATCTTTTTAACATGTGACTTGGCAGTGGTTTTTAGGCTGTATTTATCAACAATCTAAACAGAGTACAAACTGAAGGACTTGACTGAGCATTCTGAATTATGCAGACTGTTTAAATATATATATATTTGGGAGCTGAGGGGAGGAAAGTGGAGCACTTGGTACTGAAAGGATAAGAAGAAGAATGATATGCTTGCTATCAAGTGTACGGTTTTTAGGAAAGTGGCTACAGACATGCTTTAAAGAAGGCTGTCTCAAATTCCAGTAGCGGGACATCCCACAAAATGATTTACCGATATTCTTCAAAACTCTCAAGGTCATCAAAAACAAGGAAAGTACCTGTATGAGAAATTGTCACAGCCAAGAGGAGCCTAAGGAGACATGAAGAGTAGGTGGAATGTGGCATCCTGGAAGAGAAAAAGGGCGTTAGGTAAAAATTAAGGAAATCTGAATAATGACTTTAGTTAAGAATAATATATCAGTATTGGTTCGTTAATTCTAACAAAAGTATTATACACATGTAAAACGTTAATAAATAGGTGAAAGGGAGTGCCGAATACACAGGAACTCTGTCCAGCTTCTCAATTTTTCTGTAAATTTAAAACTGTTCTAAACGATTGTATCTATTAAAACACACACAGCTGTCTCTATTAATATTCGCATTTTAAATAAGAAACTAGAGTTGAAGGAAGTGAAACATTTAATACAAATCAGTAATGTTGAAGAAATTTTCTCGACTGTTTCCCAGAATGCTAGTCATATTGCAAAGAATTATTTAATAAGGCTTTTTTTCTTTCTAATTATTGCGATGTCTGAAATGAGAACACCACCAAGAAACTTTTCTGGACTTGCAAGAAACGAAAACAAAACAAAACAAAACATCTGGTTCTGCTTGCAGTCTAGTTTCCAGGGCTAACTGGCATGCCATCTGCTCGCAGCAAAGTGGTAACCATGGTTCACGTGTCACACCAGCGTTCGGCGTTAGGAAGTTTGCCCCAACAAGCCTGGACAACTTGGCTTCTGCGCAGGTTGCTGGGGGGCGGGAGGTGGCGGTAGCAGCATCCAGGATGTGTATATCGTTTTTCCAAACTCCATCTGCTTCCCCCACCCCTGACTGTGCCCGCGGTCTCCCCGCGCGGCAAGCCCAGGGGACTTGAGCGGGTCTTTTATGCATAACAAAAGAGCCCTTCTCCTCCTCCCGAGCAGTTGTGTGGGCCTGAGGCTTGGAGCTCGGGGCTGTAGAGGGTGGCAGGGGCGCTGGGCTCGGCCACCGAGGTTTCCAGGTACCCGGAAGGGGGAGGGGGACCCAGGCGGCAACAATTGGGCGGCTGCGGGCGAAACGCGCGGCCAGGAGCGCCAAGACTCCGAGGGGCGGTGAGCCCGGGCTGTGCCACCACGCGATTGGCCGGGGGCGTCCCGCCGACCGCCGCTGATTGGTGGATTCTCAAATTCGGTCTCAAGGCGCCAGAGGTGGTTTAGCCCGGACTGCGATCTGGGGCTGCAGTTGCGGTCAGCGTGTCCGAACGCTGGCGCTGTCAGAGCGCCACGGGGTCCTCGCCAGCCCCGGGCTTTCGGAGTGGGGGTCTGCGCACTTGGCTTTCCCCGCCCAATGTCGCCGCCTGGCCGCTGATCGCCTCGTGCCTTTGATCCCGCGCGGGTGTGAGGCCGTGGAGGTCCCCGAAGAGGCAGGAAGTCTATGCAGAGCGGGAGTGAGTAGCGTGCGGCCACAGCGCTGGCAGGCAGGCGGGAATTGGGGGGGAAAGGGGACCCCTCCCGCCCGGGCTGCCAGCCTGCCACCCCTCCCCTCCCCGACTGGCGGGGATTTGAGGAATTTCTGCCGCCGGACCAGGAGCGCGTGGGGTGTCCTGGCTCCAGCTCTTCTTCTAGCTAGGCAGTACAGGATATTTACCCTTCCTCACCATTTAGAGGGTCCACTGGAAGAGTTTATCTTTGGGGTCTGCTTGGAAGCCTGGGAAGGGGCTACGTTAAACGTTGAATGGGTTTGGTCTAGCGATCAGGTTTCTTCCCCCCTGATTCAAACTCCCCCAAAACCGAATTCCTCCCAGTTCTTTGCGCCAAAATTAACTGACCTAGGAGACTCTGTACTTTCTGACAGATTTGCCCTACAACTTCTTGATCTGGTAACTTTATTATGTTCTGTTTCTTTTCATTTAAAAAAAGTCACTATTTTTGTCGTTTTGTTTTCTTCCCTAGTTTTCAGTGATTAGTAAGGGTTGTGTTCGTTCGTGTGCTTTTTAGAGTTGCAGCTATGCTTCTGGAAATTCCCAGGATGGGTTTAGGGAGAAGTTCAGGTTCACGAGCAAGTAATAAATATATATTTTTGTTGTAGGGGAAAAAAATCCAATTGTAAAATCATTTTTTTAATGTAATTGTGCATTACAGATGGAGGTAAATTGTTTAACACTAAAAGACCTGATCAACCCCAGGCAGCCCAGACTAGATTTTGGAATTGAAGATGGGGAAAATGCACAAAAGGTAAGTGCGCTTAAATACTTTAAGCTCTAACATATTTAGGACGGTGATGTCTAATTCAATGAACTGTTCCATTATTCCACTTGTATTTGTCTTATAAACTTAATTAACTTTTTAAACATAATAGAAATAAACTTTTTTTTAATGGAAACATCCAAACCATTATTATTGATTTTCTCAAGTCAATGTGCTGTGGGAAGAGGCTAGATTAGATGTAATGTTGGAACCGATTCATATGAATCAAAGATATGCTGGACGCCCAGTCAAAAGTTTGTTCGTAATACTTGTAGTAAATAAAAATAGAATTATGTAATGCTGCGCAGGAATGTTCAACCTCAGTTCCCAGGAAAATAGACTCTTTTTGCTATAAATGCTGGATTATTAAAATAGACTCTTTTTGCTATAAATGCTGGATTATTAAAATGTGAAATGTTCTTACTACACATTAATCAGCTCTTAGAGGCTATTTCATTCACCCAAGACTATTACCTGTGCCTCCCATATAGGAAGATAAGTGACTGAACCCACCAATATGCTCCTTAAATATTTTACAGTACTACTGCTGGTTTGGGTTTGCACTGAGTCATCCTTCCTTTTTTACATCCCTTGAGAATTGTGAATTAGACCATGGTGGTATCCTCAAGAAATGTTACCAACTGGGCATAGCGATATCTAAACTATGCCTGTACCCACGTTAGCACAGTTATACTCACCAACTGGTGCCCTTCTGAAAAGGTGTAATAGCTTGCTAGTAGCAAACATGAAAGCATTTTTAGGCCAAGGCAAATATATATAACAAACCCAGATTTAGAATCTTTGAATATAAATCTGAGCATAGTAACTTCTTGGGCCTTGGACTGTAGGATCCCAATCTTAACTTTAGATTTAGTATCAACAGTGAAACTGCCTGGTTGTAAAGCACCTGTTATATGGGTCTTTGAAAAATATTTTACAGTGATTAATTTTAGATAGGTATGAAATTGTATGATTTTTCCATGTAGGAGCATTTTTCTCTAGCATTCAATTTATTAGTAAAAGAAGTACACCAAAGCATTATTGTTTTAAAGAAGACTTTAAAAAATTACCTAAGCAATATGAAGGTAGAAATACGCAGATTTTAAAGTATATTTTCAGAGTTTGGATTTTGGGAGTTTCAGAGCTAAACTTTGTTTTCCTTTGTAATTTGGAAGAGACAACTTTGAAAGAATATGTATACATTTATATAAAGCCTAAGTCAGTGTCCACTTCTTTCCATCTGGGTCAATGACTTTATCAAGTGCTTTCAACAAGGGCACTTCTACTCTAGTTAGCGTCAGTAAGTACTATGTCCAGATGAGCTTTCACATTCTAATGGGCAAGGAGGAAAACTCAAGTGACTCAAAAGAGACTGGGAAAATGGTTAAAATGTTTGAAATGGAATGTCTGAGCAGTAATTACTTCACCTCTCAAAGAGAAGTCAAGGGATGAGAACAGAGTGTTTCTGCCCAGATACTAGGAGGGGCTTTTTTCTCTCTCTTCGTATTGCTGTGAAGTAAAGAAAGGGGGATTTTTTAGGGATGGTGAGAACATGGGATTTAGAGTTAGAGCCATCCGTAGATTTGATTTCCTGTTGTGCCATTTATTACCTACGTAACCTCAAACAGATATATTTATTTAGTCTTTCAACAAATATTTATGTTCCTCGTGCTGGGGTACAGTGGTTTAGTTTAATAAACCTCCTAACCTCATTAAGCCTGTTTCTTTCTTCTGTAAATTGGAGCTGATAAATCGCACCTCCCCCTTTGGATTTGTGTAAAGCACCTAGTGACACATACTCTTTACACTGTACTCAAAACTGATAGCCCAAAGATGCAAACCCTGCCCTCAGTTACCTGAGAGACTTTCAGGGACTCAGATATAAAACAACTAACCAACTGTACTATGATTTGGTAAGTGCTATAATAAGAATGGGAGCAAAGTAACCCCCTCAGAACAGAGGAGGAAGAAATAAATTTATGGAGAGTCTATAGTGTACTGTGTTCCAGCCTTTTTGGATATTGTTTCATGTTTTCACATTTCATCATGTCTACAATATGCCCATCTGTGTCTCCTGCTGGTAAGAAGAGGAAGGCAATTAAAAATGCCACTCAACTTACAATGGGGTTACGTCCCGTTAATGCAAGTGTTCTGAGCATGTATAGGTAGGTAAGGTAAGCTATGATATTCCAGTAGGTTAGGAATATTAAATGCATTTTTGATTTACTTACAGTTGGTTTTTTGGGATATAACTTCATCATAAGTGAAGGCACTTCTTCATTAAACTCTAGTGAAAATATATCTAAGTTTTGGAGGAAATAATCCATCTGAATTGCTCCTCGTTAGAAAAAAAGTAGGAGCGCATCATTCCTATGACTGCAGGTAGCATGGAAGATAGAGAAGCCTGGGCTACAGCCTCTACTATGTGGATACCTTTTCTAATAACTAGATAATCAAGGCCCAGTGTTCTCTGAGCACCTATAAGAAGCAAGGCATTGTGCCAAAAATTGTAAGTAACGAGACATGTGGAATTTGCTCCCTGACCTCCAGAAGTGCACAGTCTTGTTAATGAGACAAGACTTACACCCAGGAAGTTAAATATATTACCTCTGAGCATCAGGATGAATGGTAATAAAGAATAGGATAGGAGAAAAGATAATAGCTAAGTTTTAATGCATGCTTACTGTATGCCAGGAACTAGTCTCATAATCCTGTGGTTGGTATTTTTATGGACTTTATGTTCAGTTGAAAGAATGACAACCTAGTGTGGAGAAGGAACTTGCCTTCCCTTACACTGCTGATAAGCAGCGGAGCCAAATAAACTGGCCTGAGAGTTTGCATGCAGAACTGCTTACCCATACTGCCTCTCCATAGATGCTAGTGGGGCCTGCTGGATGCTTTATGTTGAAGCTGTAAAAAAATAGATAAATAACTTCGGTCCAATTCACACCCAAGATAGGCTTATTTCTGGATGCAGAATTTCAGAAACTCCTGCTTTCGGCTGTTTCTTGTATGGCAAGAATGAGATTTGTATGTGACCTCCAGCAAGTTATTTAACCTCTCTGTGCCTCAGTTTCCTCATCTGTAGACTGGAAAAATAATAGTACCTACGTCACAGGATTATATGAGTTAATATATGTAAAGTACATGACATATGGCATTGCACATAGTAAACACTCAATACTTTCCCTGAAGAGTTCCCTTGTAGAAGACTTCATCAGCACTGTACTAGTAGGAACTTGTTAAGAGATGTTGGTAGATGCAGTGCCTCAGGCTGGGTGCTTACTGCTGCTGTGGCGTGAGAAACCGTCACTCTCATCCCCACCCGCTTCCTTCCTGTTACACTAGGACAGAACCTAAGCATGGCTAGCTGGCAGCTTCTGCTAGTCCAAGGAGTAAGAGTAAGAGCTGGCCTACTAACAAAACTCCAGTTTCTCCTAAATAATCTTTTCCCTCTGAACAAGATGCTCCTAAGAAAGCACTTTTTTTAAACCACTGCTCAGCCAAAATCTAAGCATGCAGTAGCTACAGAGAGATACATGTACAAGAAAGGGAATGACAAATATTTAACTCACCCACCTTCATAATAAGATAAGACACAATTGCCTGGAGGTGAATTCAGCTACAGGAAGAGCAGAATCTTTCTGTTCCTGAATGCCAAAAACGGGTTTTAGGGGAAAGAAATTTGTTTTAATTACTTGGTATTTCCAAATGCGGATTCTCTGTACCTAGTCCTGTTTCACAACGGCCTAATGGACATAATGGACCCATCATTAATCTTATAATTATCTAAGACATTCTACTCAAAGTGTGATGTGGGGGCCGGTTCTACCCTACAAACTTACCAAGCTGCAAAAAATGAATAGAACTTGAGAGTTAAGCACTTAGAAATTTGTATGACAATTTGATGTTGCCCCCATGACATCTAAGCCTGTGATCAGTGGCATCTTGTTTAACAGGCTATAGATTAGTTTGATTGGCAAACTCTGGTGGACAGTCATATGGAGTGGAGGTTGCACCACATATCAGTGTGAGGGGTTTAGAAAATAAAACACTCTGGTCCTTCTCCATGGTTGGTTTAAGAAACACTGATCTGTGTGAATGACAGACAGCTCTCCAGGTTCGCTTGAAACGTGGCATTTTGTTGGATGCACTTCCGTTATTTGGTCCTGCTAATTACTATATTAGCACTGCTGAACACTGAACTACAAAAGCATAATTGCTCTTTACTAGTTAGGGCAAACTTGCAAAGAATATTTTAAAAAATATGGCACTTAGGAGAATGTGGACTCAACTCATATTGCCCTTCTCATCCTCAACTATTAAAAGCATCCACCAATTACATATACACTCATGACTTTTTCACAGAGGTGCCATGAAAATGTGCATAAAAGGAGTAGCAGATTACAATTAGCTTCTCACTGGAGCCTCTCCTTGATTCCCATGAATCCTACTGTCTGTTTTCATTAGTCCTATCCTAATATTTTTCAGCCCTGAACACATGGTCTGTTTGTATTTTCATGCTGGGAACAAAGTATCATCTTAGCTGATGGCTGCCCTTTCTCCTTGCTAAAAGTTCTCTTTTTTAAAATAGGAAAATATATTTGTTGATCCATCAAGGATGGCCCCAAAGACTCCAATAAAAAATGAACCGATTGATTTATCGAAGCAAAAAATCTTCACTCCGGAAAGGAATCCTAATACTCCAGTAAAGCTTGTAGACAGACAGCAGGCAGAACCATGGACGCCCACAGCTAACCTGAAGATGCTCATTAGTGCTGCCAGCCCAGACATAAGAGACCGGGAGAAGAAAAAGGGACTTTTCAGACCCATTGAGAACAAGGATAATGTGTTTACAGACTCTCTGCAGGTAAACAGGCTGTATTCCCAAGGGCTCTTATAGAATTTAAAATGTTTACTTGATTATTAAAAAATCATAAAATTATCAGTATTTCAGCTACTATTGAGCCAAAGCAGTATTAAACATAATATCTTTTTATATATAGCTGAAACGAAATTCTCTGTATCTCATTTTTCATAATGAATGCTTTCTTCTCTTTATGATACTGACCAGTACACATTTAAAAACAAATTTTTGAAGCAAGGATATTTAATAACTTTGATTTAATGAGGGAATTTGGATTTTTTAAAATACTGCTGTGAGTTTAATTCTGCTCCAATTTTAAGAGTAATATTAATTCAAATATTTTTGACTTGGGAAATTTCATTATTCTCATGTATGTTCGGTTTGTTGATTTGGGACTTTAAAGTTAAGTCATCTTTAAATTAAGTGTCCTGTGGGGAGCCAGAGCTATTTAATAAGCAGCATATCTATACTTTTTTAAAAAAAAATCAGTGATCAATATTTTCACTCTCCCGTCAAACTTTTTCCCAGACTTGCTAAGGAAAAGTTACTCACAGATTTGAATGTCATTTCTCTTCTATTTCTCCTTATTTTGGTGGATTTTTTAATTTATAAAAATTACCAAAATGAATAATTGGGAAGAAAGAAGAGAAAAAGATGTCCAAAATTACAGTTCGAAATTAATAGACTAGAATGACTTGAATCTGCTGTACAGTTTATTGCAGTGGTAAAACTAACAGATTCTTTCATGTAACTGAATACAAATCAGATCACACTTCGAGAGCCACTGCCCTAGAGATACTCCTGTTTCTGTACATCAGGAGATGTGAACAAGAATATCATAGAAATTTAGTTCCTAATAGCCCAAACTGGAAACAACACAAATCATTATAAATGGGAAACTGAATAAATAAATTGTGGTATATTCATGCAGTGGATTAGCATACAGCAATGAAAATGAGAGAACTACAGCCACGCACAAGAACATGAATGAATATTAATTATGTACAGTAAGTCCTTGTATAACATTGTTGATAGAGTCTGTGACTGTACTGCATGTAGATTATTTGAGAATTAACCTCTTTATGCTACTGAATCCTCCTATTCATAAAGATAGTATATTTTTCTAAGTTTTAAGTATATTTCCTGAGATAAAAATTTTAATATTTTATGCAAATATTTATTTGCAGGATTTGTTCCTAAAAATCTTATCATTTTTATTACTAGTATAAATTATATCTTTTCAACTCATTTTCTGTTACTATTATATAGCAATGCAGCTGACTTTTTAAAATATAGTCGTCTTTTCAGCTACCTTACTAAACGTTCTTGCTATTTTTAATAATCTGAGATTCTTTTGAATTTTTTATGTAAACAGTCATGTCTTCTGCAGAATGAAGGTTTTGCTTATTTATTCCTTTCCAACTCCTGTGCCTCTGCTTCTTTTGTCCTCATGTACTGGCCAGGATCTCCAATATGACACAGAAGAGGGGCATCTTTATCATTTTCCTGATTTTAAGGGAATGCTTCCAAGGTTTTACCATTAAGACGGATGTTTGTGGTTGAGTTTTTATTGGATACTTTATTTAAAAAGTTACTCATTTCTGGTCTTCTAAGGGCATTTTTTGAAAATCATGAATGGATGTTAAATTTATTAAATGCTTTTTCTGAGGCTATTGAGATCATCATATCATTTTTCTCCTTGAACATTTTCATTGAAAAGCCTTTTACTTTCTTGAGACTTGAATTGAATTGATGGGAAAAGGACACTAGTTTAATGTACTTACTATAAGAAAGAATAAGGAAGAATAAGATTTGGCTGCCCTTGTTTAGTTTCATCAACATTTGGTCAATTGTAAAAAAAATAAGGCAGTTTGATGACATAGCGGAGACCAGTGCATCTCAAATTTCATGTCAATAGAAATCACCCAGGATCTTATGAATAGACGGATGCTAATAGATCAGGTCTCATATGAGTCCCGAGATTCTACATCTCTAACAAACTCCTGGTGATGCTGATCTACTATCCAATAAACACGTTATTAGCAAGAGTGTAGCAGCCTATAAATGACTGTGTGTTCATTGTTTAAGCTCTTAGCCAGTAGACTCAGCTTCAAATTGCAAAGGAGGAAAAAGTCCAGAGAAAGCAATAGGTAAAATATTAATAAAATAAATTAGATTAGTAAATGTATTTTAACTAACATCTAAGATGGTATGGAGTAGGATGTCCCCAAACTTACCAGTACTGGCCATTGCAGTTTCTCCATTAGGATGTTAACTGTGACATCTCGCCCCTCCCTTCTGTCTGCCCTCTGTAGCTTGATGTTGGGGACAGCGCTGTGGATGATTTTGAAAAGCAAAGGCCAAGCAGAAAACAGAAGAGTTTAGGACTCCTGTGCCAGAAGTTTCTAGCTCGCTATCCAAGTTATCCCTTGTCAACTGAAAAAACTACCATCTCCCTAGACGAAGTTGCTGTCAGTCTTGGTATGTATCATCAGGTTACCTGGAGGCCTGTCTCCAGTTATAGCAGGAAACTCATTTTCTTGGGCAGGCTGGCTTCAGATAGCCTCTTTTATTAAGTAAAGAATGAGCCCTCCAAAAGAGTGAGGACAGAAGAGCAAGTAGAACTTTCTTCTGCCATTATCAAGTTGCCCATCATTATGCATAGGATTCTAGAGAGCCTTTTAGGCCTGAGGGTCAAACAAAAATTTGGTTTTCTTAACCTTAAGAAATATTTTTACAAAAGACTCACATTACAAAGTAATATCATTTTCAGTTCATCTTATTTCAGACAGACTCAAAAAAATATTTATAAATATCTTGTTTATTTTTAATAATGCTTCTAAGGTTCAGAACTGGTGTTATACCTATTATAAAGCAAGATTTGAGAGCAAGAGCATTATGGTTGAAGCCCTATGCTGTGCTATTCACAGCAACTCTCCAAACTAGAAGAAGCACATGTGGACATAACTCAAACAGCTAAACCTTATAACAAAGAGGAATACATGTGTTCACATGGCATGAGTGTGTATAACGTGCAATGGTGTATGTTCTATAAATACATATACAGCGGCTTCAGAATAGAGACCCCTAGTGGTCATGGATTGAAGTTGGTTTCAGGATGAACATAATGTTGACAATCATTAAATTAGCAGAAACCACAAAGATTTGAGGGTATGAGGTGTCTCCTTAAGAAATAAGGAGGTTTTACATACAGGCAATAAAAAAAAAAAGGAAGAAAAATAAAACTGTCCCAATGAAACCAGCTAAATAGGTTTTATGATAGATTATATTTTTAGTTTGCTTTTTAAGTTCTATTTCCACAGCCCAGAGAAATATGCTGCAGTAGATGTGAATTATTCAAACTGATGGCTAAAATAATTTTATTTGCTGGAAACAGATATTGAGGAGACAATGAGTTATGATGGGATGACCATAAGCTGAGCTTTGAGTCAGATAGGGCTGGATTTGAAGCCCAGGTCTCCAATTTACAGACTTTGAGAGCTTTAAAAAGTTAATTAACCTTTTCTCATCTATAACATAGGGATCACAGCACCTGCCTTGCAGAAAATTAGCAAAGTTAGGATAATGTCGATAACATGCCTAGCTCAGGGACTGGTGGAACAGTTTCTGCTCAGCTCTTACTAGATATCTCCTCCTTCCCTAAGCTGTCCTTCAGCCTCTGCAATTAGGAAAAGGAAGTAGAGTGCTTTAATTGGAGAGCCTTTTTTGAAACCTAGAATGGAATACAGTATTTGGCATCAGTGGTAATGAAACAAGAAGGGGAAAGTGACTCAGGTGAATATAGGCTTGGTATAAACCCATTGAGACACGGCATCCTGGAAACTAGTATTACAGAGGATGAGGGTAAAATGACAAATCATGCAGTGTCCTTCGCATTGGGGTTCAAGCATCCAGCTTCCTCCCTATACCCATTTCCATCAAGGGAGCTTGCATTGAGGTCAATGCAGAATACAAAACATTAGATGTTGGAAGGCTGTGTAACAGGTCCCAAGGAGGACAGAAAAGTGGACTCTTATTCTTATTACATGGGCTACAGATCTCCAGAGTTTTTTGCAACAGCTTGTAATCATTTACCAAATGAACTTACCATCTCTTTTCATGTGAGGTAAAAAATGAGGTCCATTCCTGGAAGTTATTTCACTGGTGACCGTCTCTTCGAGTTGAGTGTAAACTCCTCGCTACATCTGGGTCACAAGCTATAAGACCATATTTTAACAAAGATGTGCAAAGCATTCAAATTGCAGTATTTTCCAGATTTTGGTCCCATGTATATTTGACATGGATATTGTAGGTAAGAAGTTAGAAGGTAGAAACAACCCGAGTATCCATCAACAGATGAATGGATAAACAAAATGTGATATATACATACAAAAAACTATTATTCACTCTTTAAAAGGAAAGAAATTCTGACACATGGTACAACGTGGATGAACTCCGAAGATATGCTAACTGAAATAAGCCAGACATAAGAGGAAAATTACTATATGATTCCATGTATATGAGATATCTTGAGTAGTGAAATTCATAGAGACAGAAAGTAGAATCGAGGTTGCCAGGGCTGGGGGAGGGAGGAATGGGGAGTTGGTGTTTTATGGATGCAGAGTTCAGTTGGAGAAAATAAGAGTTCTGGAAATGGATGGTGGTGATGGTTGCATAACAATGTACTTAAGGTCACTGAACTATACACTTAAAAATGGTTAAAATGGTCAATTTTATGTTATGGATATTTTACCACAATAAAAAAAAGTATTTCCAAACTTGGACTCCAAAAAAGGTTAAAGAACTGGGAATGACTTTAAGTAGTGGAAAATAGCACAGCCTAAGAAACTATTTTACTGGTCTGAGAGATGTTCTTGATAAGCTCCATGGAAACTAAAGGAAGCGTGGTAACAACTGGTAAATCCTCGAAGGCATGTCTAATGCCATGAATAGGATTAGTAGGATTGCCTTGATACAAAAGAAAATGAAGGCTTTGTGCCAAGGAAAACTTTTCTGACAGAGCAAGGGCCAGAGTAACCTGCACATCTTCAGACCTGTGAAATGGAACTTTTTAGTGTATCAGCCAGTGGACACTTAAACTCAGCCCAGATTGAAAGGTGAGTGATTATGCAGGCAAGTAGCTGCACGTTGGCTTTTGCCAGCACCACCTACTAAACACTTACTGTACATAATAAGCATCTTCTTACTCTCCAAGTTGTTAAAATCTTCCTTTATACTCCCTTCTTGGGATGTCTAGCCACTAGATGGAGACTTAACAGCTTGCATCTAATACGGAATAACAAAACAGCCAGGCATATGGCTGGCCCTGGGGTGTCTCAGTTGCATTAACATGACATTTCTGATGGGAAGGTTTATAGAATGTTATACTCTAAACAAGACTTGTTAATATCTGAAAACAGACTGGAATAAGGAACCAGGCGGATCTAGACAAAGGGCTGCTCCGCCTGCCCCTGCCAGCATCTTCTGGCAGGCATCTGGCACCAAAGCTGGAGCTTCACAGGGTGAAGAGCCTTTCAGGGTCATGAACTGAAATGTTCTGATTGACTGAAATGCCTCTTCATTCATGTGAGAGAACTTCCTCTCAGCTCCCGAGTTCTCATTGTAATTTGGTCTACTTCTGTTAAATCTTTGAAGGGCTAAAAGCTACATTTGCTGAGTCTGCCCAGATTATACAACAGCTCCTGGCAAGCAAACAGGAAGAGGACGTCTTTGTAGCTGAGCTGGTTTTCTAGGAGATGCCTATAGAGCCTTCTGTTATGGATACTTAGATGAGAGCAAAGGGAGCCCGTAGGTTCCAAAAGCCTAATGACCTGTTATACAACAGAGTGAGTCACAGACAGATTTTTTAAAGTGACCTTTTCTATAGTGACTTCTTATGCTAACAGGGAGGTTAGGTATCCCCAGTGCCATACAGGAAATATTTGCACCATAATATGCAAACAGTAGAAAAAGTTAACATCTACTGGAGACTCTTTACATTTATGGTTGCATTTAATCCTCGCATTTTATGAGATAAATACTAAAGCACAGACAGGTTAAACAACTTCCCAGGATCTCCGATTTGTAAGGAACAACACAAGGATTCCAATCCAGGCAGTGACCCCAAAGTTTCCATGCTTAACCACCATAAATGTTTTTGGTAAATTCAATAGACAGCTCATAATCTTAGCTGTTTAGGGAGTGTTGGGAAAGGGGGTAGGGAATGAGTGACCTTGATGACCTATCCGTACTGTCCACGAAGTCTCTGTGCGTCACCATCGGGTCGTTTGGCAGGATACGGTGAATGAGAGCACAGGGAGAGTTGTCAATAGCCGTGATGAGTAAAAGGATCCTCATGTTGTTCCAACCCTGGCTATAGCTTCCTCCAGCAACTTGAGAAGGGTGCCTGAGCTCTTCAATCCCAAGTTTCCAGTCCAAAATAGGAAACAAAATATTTACTGTTTTCCTTACTGGACTATTAAGAAAGTTAACAGGATAATTCTTTCACATCATTTGAACTCCAGGAAAGGGTAGCATTGTCTAAACAAGGTATCAGTTATTGGACACAATTTATTTTATAATCTGCATGATTAGGAATACAAGTCACAAGCATTCATCGTGTCCACTAGGCATAGTACTTGTGTTGCTCAGTCCCACCCATTTTAACATGCTGAAATGTTGGTATGATTTGACTAACAGGTCTAAAGAAAAAACATACTTTTACTATATGTAATACAGATAGAACCATCATCTATATCTAGGTGGCTGTTTTATCCTAAATCTTATTGAGGGTTAGATCCCAAGAAAAGGAAAGAAAAATAATTTCTGTCACTTGCATCCTTACACGTTGAATTTGTGGAGCATCTACAGTTGCTGGGCATTACGCTGGGCGTCATGCAAACTAGTTCACAGACATGGCCCAGGCCCTCAAGGAATTTATACTCAAAAATGTCCGCATGATGATGGTTGGCTTCTGTTTTACAAACAGGTGTTGAAAGGAGACGTATTTATGACATTGTAAATGTGCTGGAGTCGCTGCATCTGGTCAGCCGGGTGGCCAAGAATCAGTATGGCTGGCATGGACGGCACAGCCTGCCAAAAACCCTGAGGAACCTCCAGAGACTGGGAGAGGAGCAGAAATATGAAGAGCAGATGGCACACCTCCAACAGAAAGAGCTAGATCTAATGGATTATAAATTTGGAGAACCTAAAAAAGATGGCTATCCAGATCCTCAAGATCAGCAGTTACTGGATTTCTCTGAGCCCGACTATCCCTCTTGTGAGTCCATCGTAACCACATGAGTAATAAGCATAGAGAGAGTGATGGTCTCTTCTGAAGAGAATCACTGCTAAGATGAGAAATGCCAGATTGACAGCCCTGGAGGGAGGTGTCCTCTCATTCTCTCTACTGAAGAAAGGGAGACAGATGGCTCCCCAACTGGGCTGCCCACCCGACCTCACTGGAAGCTTGTCTGGTGGCGGTTCACTTGCTGTTTGGTGTGTTTGGACCATGGATCGCTAACAGCTCCCATTTCAGATTGACAGCTCCATGCTGATTTCTATTTGTGAGCTAAGAAAAATTTACTTTGAAAGAAGTTATTGTTACAATGAATTTGATTTTTTAAATTACATATTTCTGTAGATTACTTAGAAAAGAACCCCATTCGCAGAAATGTTGATTAGAGAGACAACTCCTGTTCTCATTTGATGCAGAATTTTTTTTTACATATATCTATGTTGTTCTTCCCCTCTGGACTGGTATTTATCCTCTTCCTATTTTAACCATCGATCTTTACTGTTCTCACCCTGCTCCCTCTTGCTAAGATGATAAAGTGCAAGTATCACTCACATTTCACTTGCAAACAAGAGAAATAGGAATGGAAAGGTAAGCCTGGTTTTCATGCGATTTACTGCCCTCATGCCTTTTCATTCCACCTCATGAGCTAGTTCTTATCCTAATAACCAGAGGAAACAGCCATCTGTCAGGGATGGTTTGCCGGCCATCTATAGCAACACACATCTCATCAGTGTCTCCTATTAATTTATGATTTATTTCTTCACTTATTTCTGAAAAGAAATGGAAGAGGCGGGCACCTACTATGTTCAGGGTATATTCTAGATACAGACATACCTCAGAGATATTCTGGGTTCGGTTCCAGACCACCACGATGAAGCAAGTATTGCAATAAAGTGAGTCATAATCTTTTTGTTCATGGAGGGTCTAGCCTTCGATTTATAAAAACAACATCTGTGAAGCACAATAAAGTGAATCATAGTAGAAGGACAACAGCCTGTATTGTGAGCACAGAAATAAAAATGGAGCCTTTGCCTTTGAGGACAGAGTTGATGTTCTGAAAACAGTTCCTGACCCCTACCCTGTCCTATTTTCCTTCTGCATTAATCCTGTAGAAAAGTTGGTTTTGGAAAAATACCTCATAGATTCTATTCCATGAAATATGAGTATATAGCATTAAGGAGTTTAATGTATCATTTCAAACTTTCTGCCTGCTGTAATTTTATAAGCCATAAGAAAATTCACCTGTTTTCTCTATGAGCCATTTTTATAACATGTGTCTAAAAGGCTTTTGTCTGTGACAGAAGTGATCTTTCTGTCTACTAGTAGAGTCAGATAGTTCTGGCAAACTATATAAGTACAGTCTTTCTTGTTGTAAATTATCTGTTTTTATGCTTTTGTTTTGTCCCCTTTGTAGCATCTGCAAACAGTAGAAAAGACAAGTCTCTGAGAATCATGAGTCAGAAGTTTGTCATGCTGTTCCTTGTCTCTAAAACCAAGATTGTTACTCTTGATGTGGCTGCCAAAATACTGATAGAAGAAAGCCAAGATACGCCAGACCATAGTAAATTTAAAAGTAAGCATCTTCACCTAAATTCACCTAACACAAAAAGGGTAGGATTTTATATGATGGTATTTCCTGCCTGTGAGATTAAAAGAATTAACGTTTTGGAAAAGTGCATTCCTTCCTACACTCATAAACATTCTTGGTGCTGTGAGAGAAGCTAGTCACATACTAGAATTCCCTTTAAAGGTTCTGTCAGATGCCTTTTCCTAGGCAGTTAGAGTAGAGAGTGGAAGCCAGATGCCATCTCACAAGTGCAGGTAAGGGAGGGAGTGAGATGCTTTGCATTTCTCTACATCTCACTGCATCCAAGATGTAATGTCTGAGTCTTGTTTCCCCTTTTTTCCTCGCCCCCTGCATACTCTTCTGATGGGTGGAGATGAAAGTTGTCCACAGGTAAGAACCAGAGGAATAACCAGGGTAGGGTAAGGGTGGTGGGACATGGATGCTGGACAAGGAGAGTGTTTCCGAGTTTCATACTCAGTGCATCTTCCTTTTTTGTCAAGCACAGGTCCTGAGCCAAATGCCCTGGGTTGCTGGTAGCTCTTTCAAGCCCCGGGAAGCCATGAGCTCAGAATTCTCTAGCTTTTTAAATTTGTTTCTAGTTGGAATTATAGCCGCCCTGTGGGAGAAATGACTAAATAAAACCCAACTTTATTAGGACTGGGAAGAAAATTGCATCTGAGGTGAATATTTCTTGTTTGTGGACAATAAAGCTCCTTTGTTTGATCTTAATCCTGAGGTCAAGAAGGTTTCCTACCTGTAAATCGATTTCTTAAATAGAAATTACTTTGTGGGCATCATCCTGGCTATTTAAATTTAAATTTCTCCTTTAGCATATGCGTTTTCAAATGTGTCTCCCAAAACCTCTTAAGACTCAAGAGTTGCGCATTCCGCTTCTCCCCCTCTGTGCTCCCCCTCTGTGCGGCTAGAAAGACAAGATTTCAGATGAGGAACTGTCTGTCTTCAGCACAGTTGTACTTCATAACCTTGAGCCCTGAACACCTTGTGTGCCCAGGAGTGCAGCTTTGCTGGAAGCTCTGGGGAAGCCCTGTCATTTTCACAGCCCAGCTGCCTAGTAGCACTGGTGCCACAACCTCCTACTGGGAGAAACTCAGGGCAAGCTTTTGACATGCCACATATCAGAATTACATTTACTAAGCCTTTAACTGCAGCCCGTCTCCCTCCCTCAGGTGTTTTTGCAATCACAGCACTCCCTGCTTGTCTTATAAAAGTTGTGAAGTTGTGGAAATGGAAGGACACACTGACCTTTCCTTAGTATTTGTCTTCAGATACATCAGATACATAAATCCTGGGTGATTTCATGACAGAGCCATTGGTCATTTCATCCCACCCCACTGCTTCCCCCTCGAGGTTTATATGGTGGCCAAGAAAAAGTGACCTGTCACATAAACTAAAATGTAATGATGTCACAGGCAGCATGACCGTAATTATGTTTTATATCTTCAAGCAAAGGTACGACGCCTCTATGACATAGCCAATGTTCTGACCAGCTTGGCTCTGATCAAGAAAGTGCATGTAACAGAAGAGCGAGGCCGTAAACCAGCCTTCAAATGGATCGGGCCTGTGGACTTCGGTTCCAGTGGTAAGACATGGTTTTGTTAGGGACCTATTTTATTTATAATCCTTTATTCCTTTTCCAAGTCGTACATCTAGGACAGAGTGAAATTGATCTCTTTCATTTTTTTATTATCCAAGTCACATTCAAAAACTAGACCAGTGATGTTACTTTTGTCACAATGAGCATTAGTCTATAAATGGTATACACTGGTTGGCTCACACACAGTAGGAAGGGAAATACTAAGAGCTCTTTAGCATTTTTTATTTTTTTAGAAGTTTTTCCTGGAAGCTTGGGACTGAAGATTAAAAATGACACTTCTTATGAACTCTGGTTATGTCTACATTAGCAGAATATTGTTTTTCTTTGAAATTCCAGATAATGTAAAAATTATATCAATTACTATCACAAAACTAATATGTGGTAAGATGGCTTCTAAATATAGTATGGATATAACGAACACCTTTTTGTAATTTATTTAAAAGGTTACGAATGCCATAATTTTACGAAACTGGAACAAAAGAGGCTATTATCTTCTACTTACTTCACAGGTAATATCTGAGCAATCGGGAACTGAATCCTACTGTACCAGCCACTTAACATATAACTAGGCTTCCTGGAAAAAAGCCATTAATTTTTAAATTACCCTTCCAGTTTTGGTGTTAGTGGTATAAATTCCTGCCATTTAACCCAAGTTGTAAAAGATACAGCTCTCTATCTCATTGTAACACATTATTCACTTAGGATCTAGATGAAACCACTTAAAATCTAGTACAACTAATTCAACCCAGCAAGTACTTACTGAATGTGGACTGTACACAGTTCCTACACTGAATGCTGCAGAGATTTAAAGACATATGACACAGTCCCCACGTACATGAAATGTACTTTACCATTTTCTACTCCTCTGCCTTCGGCTTCTCTTAATTCTTTCACCTGTGAAGCCCTCCTCTCCTTTTTGACATGAAAATATTTGTTCAGCCTTCAAGATCTGGCTCAAATGCCAACTTTGAAGCTTTTCCTGATTATCCAGAGCAAGGAGTGTCTCATCTGAACTGTTGCAATTTAGTATTGTGCTACTGTACTTGGTGATGTTGATGTTGTGCCATCGTCCCTGCTCTATGCATTTGAGAGCAGAAGATGTTTTTATTTATCTTTGATTACACATAGTACCCAGATCAGTGCCTGTTCACTTTAGTTGGTTAAGGAGCTTCTGTTGAAGGTGTATAATTTTTAGCACGGATTTAAAAATTAGAGAACAATTAAGCACTGCCCATGGTGGTACTGACTCTCTAGAAAATCAGAGAGGATGTGGGTTAAGTTCTGATGGACTTGGGTTTTGGAGGGATGGAGAGCTTTTAGTTGAAGGACCTGATACCTAAGAATGAATCTGGTTTCTGTTGGAAAGATCAGCCACCCCGATTGAAGTGGAAGGCATGGGATAGAGAATAATGAAATGAAATGTGATCAATTGGGACATTTTGGAGGGCCTCTAAAATTTAGCTGAGAAATTTGCACTAGATGTAATAGACTAGATGTAAGTGACAAGGAGTATTTAGATAGATTAAAAGAGAGGAGGGTCTTAAAGGTGGTGGTGTCATTGGAGAAAATAAGATAGCTGGGAAAATGAGCTGGTGTTGAGAAACTGAGTTTATGTATTTGCATAACCAATGAGATAACAACTGGGAGAGCTCTGATCTGATGGGGAGAAAGGGCTTGGAACCAAGTCAGGAACCTCAAAATGAACTTACTCCCTCTATTTTTCAGAAAACTGATCCTCTTTCTATATTTTCTAATTCCTACTGACAACACCATCATCATCAACACAGCTGTCAATTTTGGAATGTTAATTTATTTTTGATTCCTTAATTCGCCCTCCTTCACTCCTTGGTTAGCAGTTCCTCACGATATCTCTTTCCTCCTCTCTTCCCACCATCATGGCCTTTCCTTTCTTTTAACAGCTATATTGAGGTACGATGACCTATCGTAAATAGCACGGAGTTAAAGTCACTATTTGAAAGTTTTTTCACTATCTGCACCTGTGAAATAAATAATCACCACAATCAAGGTATCCTCTAGGGTATCCTCCTGTCCCTTCAAAATTCCTTTTCCCCTGCCCCCAGGGCAACCACTGATCTTTCTTTCACTCTAGATTTTCACATTTATGTGCTTTCTGTTGGTGAGTTCGCTGTTTAAATTGTCGTTGCACAGAAGTGCTATCTAGTGTTTCTACACAGGGCAAGAAGGCTGTGATGTGTCACAGAAAATACATATGTTAGAGGAGCTTCATTCAGGAATGAGTTCTAGTGCTGTTGGCTGTGAGTTCAGTGCTAATGGATCAACAATATATATTAAATAAGGTGTCTTTATTTTTTTAACAAGAGAAAAACAAAGAGGTTTATTAACATGAATACCTCATGTATACATGGGTGATACTCAGGGAAAAATGACTAACTCTCCAAAGTAGCTTAGAATTCAGGATTAGATGCCATCTTAGTAGAGAGAGGGGAGTGGGGGATATAGGTCTCTTAAGGAAAAGAAAATGATTTTTAGGAAAGATGAATGGGCCCCTTTAAAAGGATAGATGGGAGGTATGATAGTTCGTGACAAAGTTTAGGTGTGCTGTCCACTTCTGGTCTCCTCTCAGGTGACAAGAGTCACTCCTCCGTGGTGGATGAAACTCCCTGGGAGGGAATTTATGACAACTGAGTTTGTTTTGGAGAATCTGTCTTTAAGCAGGTAAGGGGAATTCAGAGAAAGCCTCTCCTTGCTTTGCTTTTTTTCAAGTGCCAAGTTCAAAATAATCGATATGCCAAAGGGGCATATTTTGAGGTGCATATTCTGCTACCCTTCATAACATACTTAGAAAGACGAATTTTGAGTATTTATTACCTTAGTTTTTAATATAATCTATTTAACTGTAAGTTTACATCATTTAATTTATTATTAGTTTCGAGTATACGGTACATTGGTTAGACATTTATATAGTTTATGAAACGATCACCCGCTTGTTCTTTCTCTCCTCTGGCTCTTCACCTAGCCATTACATTAATGCTGACTGCATTCCCTATGCTGTGCTCCCTATCCCTGTGACCATATCAATTATTTCTTTAAACAGAAACACAGAAAACAGGGTTATGTATTGGTCAGTTGACAAAAATGTTGTAACCAGAGGCTCATGAGAAACAAACCCTGTATTTTCCCTTGGAGCAATTGTTCAGTTTTTGCTAATTCAGCGTTCATGGTGACTATAGAGTATAACCGTAAATAACAAGAATAGACTGTATTGTGTATGCTCTTCTTATTAGGCTTCTTTCATTCAGCATAATTATTTTGAGATTAATCATGTTGTAGCATGTATCAGTAGTTTATTCCTTTTTATTGCCAAGGAGTATTCTCTTGTACAGATATTTTATTCTTTATTCGTTCACTTGTTGCTGGACATTTGAATTATTTTCACTTTTTAGCTATTACAAATGAAGCTGCAGTGAATATTCACATATATGTCTTTATATTGTAGATTTTGCCAGTGAAACCATGTGGGCCTGCAGTTTCTAATATGAGAAGGTTTTTAACAATAGATTCAATTTTTTAATGGCTATAGGGCTACTCAGGTTTTCTCTTTATCAGTTCCTTTTTTCTACTTTGAGTTCCATTTGCTCTTTTTCTAGTTTCTTAAGGTAGAAGTGGAGGTCACTGAAACCTATTTTCTTTTCTAATAGGTATTTAGTACTATAAATTTCCTTCTAAGTACTTCTTTATTAACACAATTTTTTTTTGCTACTAATCCAGACAATTTAATATCACTAATTTTACAAATATCAACAAGAATCACAGAATTAATAAATATAAAAGAACATAAAATTTTCAATTTGTCTGAACTCGGATTATAGGTAACATCTTTCAGTAATAGCAGAGTATAATAATATAATCAAAGATAGCAAACAGAAACAAAAAAACATGTTACACTTTTTTGTTATATATGTACATATAACACAAATTTTGATGTGTGTTTCCATCATCTTCCAATTCAAAATACTTTGCAATTTCCCTTTTGATTTCTTCTTTGATCCATAAGTTGTTTAGATGTATGTTATATAGTTTCCAAATATTCTGGTATTTTCCAGATTTTTTTTCTTATTGATCTCTAATTTCACTCCATGTGGGCAGAGAACATACTCTGTATAACTGAAATCCTTTTAAATTTTCTGAGGCTTGTTTTATAGTGCAGATACGATCTATTTTGGTAAATATTCCATGTGCACTTAAAAGGAATGTGTATTCTGCTTTGTTCAGTGGAAGATCTATAAAGAACTACTGGGTCAAGCTGGTTGATAGTGTCGTCTGTTTCTATATCCTTATTGATTTTATGTTTACTTGTTCTGTTAAATATTGATAGAGGAGTGTTGAAATCTGATTATAATTGCAGATTTGTCTGTTTCTTCCTGGAGTTCTATCGAGTATTGTTTCATTTATTCAAAGCTGTCGTCAGTTGCATAAATATTTAGGATCAATTACTATGTCTTCTTGATGAATTGACCCTTTTATCTTTATGAAATGACCCCTCTTTATGCCTGATGATACTCTTTGCTCCTGTCTACTTTATTTAATAGTAATATAGTTACTTCAGCTTTCTTTTGATTGGTTAGCATAGTGTATATTGTTAATCCTTTTACTTTTAAACTATTGGTACCTACATTTAAAGTGAGTTCCTGGTACGCAGTGTAGAGTTGAGGATTTTTTAATCTAATCTGACAATTTATGCTTTTTAATTGGGTCATTTAGACTTTACATTTAATGTGATTATTGATATATTTGCATATTAGTGGATCATCTTGCTATTTGTTTTCAATTTGTCCTATCTATTCATTGGGATTTTTTTACTCTTTTTCCCTCTTCCTTTGGCTTTATTATTTTTTAATGGTTCCACTTTACTTCCTTTATTGGCTCATTAGTTATAATTCTTCATTGTGTTATTTTAATGGCTACTTTAGGGTTCTAGGGTTTAGAGTATGCATCTTAATTTACCACAGACTATCTTCAAATAATATACTACTTATATTGTATAAGGACCTTACAATAGCTTACTTTCATTTCTCCCTGCCTGGTCTCTGTACTATTATTGCCAAACATTGTACTGCTGTATATTTTATAAACCCTATAATGCATTGTTACTGTGTTTGCTTTAAACAGTTGATTGTCTTTTAAAGAGATTTTAATAAGGGGAAAAAATTGATAAATATCAAAGTAGTTACCATTTCTGGTGTTTATCTTTTCTTTTATAGATGCAAGTTTCCATCTGATATCATTTTTATTGGCTTGATGGACTTTTTTAAACATTTCTTGTGGTGCGTGTCTGCCAATGATGAGTTCTTCCAGTTGTTAAATGTCTAAAAATGCCTTAATTCACCTTTGTTTCTGAAAGATATTTTCACTGCGTAAAGGATTCTAGGTTTAAGGATTTTTTTTCTTTCTGTCTTCTAGTTTGCCTTGTTTCTGACAAAAAATCTGTCATCCATTTTCTCCGTATGTAATGTGTCTTTTCTCTGGTCGAAGATTTTCTTCATAACTGATTTTAAGCAATTTGATTTTGTGTGCTTTAGTGTACTTTTATTCATGTCTGTTATACTTGGGTTTGTTTAGCCTCTTGGATCTATGGATTTAAAGTTTTCATCAAATTTGACAAACTCTCGGCCATTATTTTTTCAAATATTTTTTCTAGTCCTTCCTCCTCTGTGTTTTGGAGTCTCCAGTTATCCCTTAAAGTTGTCCCACAGTTCAGTGACGTCTATTTCTTTCAGTCTCCTCTCTCTGCTTCATTTTGGATGGTTTCTATTGCTATGTCTTCAAGTACACTATTTTTTTCTGTAATATCTAATCTTCCATTAATCCCACTTACTGTTATTTTCATCTCCAACATTGTCATTTTTATCATTAGACATTTGACTTGAGCTTTCGTATTTTAAATGTCTCTACTCAACATGTTCAGTATTCCGATTTCTTGAATTCATGGAATACAATTAAAATAACTGTTTTAATGTACTTGTCTACTAATTCTATTATCTGTTTCACTTTTGAGTCCATTGCAATTGATTGTTCTCCTCACTGTGGGTTTTATTTCCCCACTTCTTTGTGCACGTAATAATTTTTAATTATATTCCTGACACTGAGAACTACATATTGTTAGGTGCTAGATATTTCTATATTCCTAAAAACGTTCTTGAATTTTGTTCTGGGATGCAGCGAAGTTACTTAGAAACAGTGGTCCTTTCAGGTCTTGCTTTTAAGCTTTGGTACACAGGACCTTATCAGCATTTGGTCTTAAGAGCAATGTCCTCACTACTGAGACAACACCCTTTTTAATATTCTAACCAATGATCCATGAATCATGAGATTTTCCCATTCTGGATATTGGCAACAAGCACTATTCCCAGTCCTGAACGAGCAGCAAACACTATTTCTTCTGCTCCTTTCGAGTGGCTCTTTCC